TAAGTTCCTTATTGGTGAGCAGTTCATCAATAGGGGATTCAACTTTCCTAATCTCCTTGAAATTCAAGGAGTTCTCCCTTTCATCCAAATGCAAGGTACGTATTATCCTGACTTAGTTAGGGTATTTTACTCTAGGTTTAAATTTAGATATCAAATTGCTACCTCTCGAGTAAAGGGTGTTTCAATTATTCTTGATGATGATATTTGGGAAAATGTTCCCCACTTTCCTATTAGAGAAGATGCTATTAACGTGTATGGCAAGTTAGATGATTTTGACAGGATCATGGCGTACCGTTCTTTTCTGCGAAACCCCTCCATGGAGATTGGGCATCTCCTTCTAGTTGGACCTTTGAAGAAGGAGGAACGCATGATTTTGCACCTACTTGTCTGGATCCTATGTCCCCAGGCTACGAATCATGCTCAATGTTCTTCAATTGATCTTCGTATTATTCATGCCATAATGAATAATGAACCTTTAGATTGGGGTGTTCTTGTCACCATGACTATGTTAAAATCCAAACGCCATCCCACCTTCAAAACTCCATATGCTCTCCTTGTCTCTCGCATTCTCGAATACAAAGGAGTAAATGTCGAAAGTGAACAAACAATACGAACGAATAACTTAAATCGCATGCTGGACAGCACATTAATCCAACTCCAAATGGTGCGTGTCAACGATATTTATGTTCACAAGGATGACGTTCCAAACGAAGGTGATGATAATGAAGATTTTGATGAAGATATGCCTCCTGCTGCTGAGTTTCCCTCTGATCAAATCCAAAGTGGTGGAACTTCCTCTGCTCATCATGAAACCCGATAATCTATGGAAGACATTTTGTCTGATATGAATCAGAGGATGCAGGCATTCTTCACTCTTTCTGGTGTACGGCATGAGGAAATAATTCGTCGTATATCTGATGTAGATGATAAAGTGTGCCATTTAGAAAATAGATTTGATGCACACTTTCATAGTGATGATAGTGAAGAATTTTAAATTTGATTGTTATTTTCTTCTTATATTGTAATGAATGATTATTGCTGAAATAAAATGTGGTGTTCTTTTATTGCTTTGATTGAGGGGGAGTTATCTCCAAGTTATGCATCTTTTGAGGGGGAGCCCTTATGATTGTTATTGAAGCATGCTTTCAATTTTTGATTATAATCAAAATAGGGGGAGAAATATTTAAAGCCTAATATTATTGTTTTTAAATATTATCTCGGTATGTTTAATGTGTTTGTTAGTATGACAGATAAAACAGGTTATTACAAGGCTTTAAAAGAAAATTTTGATCATCATAAAAAAGGGGGAGATTGTTGAACATTCAAGGACTTGATGTTAGACTTGATGGACATGAAGCTTGTTGATTTTGATGATGATTCAAGAACACAAGAACGTAGAGAGTTGAAGACTTGTTTTATAGTGTAATAACTCTGTTTTAATTAGATTGAGTCCGTAATATTAGAGTTTGAGATAGCCGGTACATAGTCTCGTACCTTAGAAGCTTCAAAAAGCTCAATTTTATTAAAGTGTCTCGGCTTTAATCGATTAAATGGTGAAATAATCGATTAAAACAATGGAGAAAAACCATTTTCTCGTATTCGCTCACTCGGTTTAATCGATCATCAGGCTCGTTAATCGATTAACGTGTCTTTTAATCGATTAAAACAGAGAGTTTTGGGGTTCTGTTGATTTTGGCTCTGTAATAATCGATTAACACTTCATTTAATCGATTATTTCAGTCAGATTTTGATTTTTAACTTCAAATAAACCTTATTTTCGAAAACCCTAATTCCAAGACTCCTAGTTTCGAAAATCCCAATTCCCAAACCCTAATTTCTCTACTTAAGCTTCTCTATGGCACTCAGAAAACAAGAACAACCTTTTTCATACAAAACTTAAGTGATGTGAGTGCCAGAGAACTGTTTGTTGCAAGAAAAAGGGGCTTTTGGAACCTGGTGTGGGCTAGAAGCGATAAGAATCACTAAGTGGAGTTCTTAGTGGATTGTGTGTTATGCCGTCTCTAGGGAAAATTGTTCTTCATCTCTTGTGGATTTCAAGAGAGGTGTTTTCTTTACTTTATCTTTTCCATTGTAATCTGTTTGTAACAACTTTGATTATAGTGACAGCGTTAATCCTCTGTTTGAGTGATTAGCAACTGGACGTAGGGTCTTTTGATCTGAACCAGTATAAATCTCCTGTGTAAGACTCTATCTCTATCTCTATTTACATTTACACAGTTTTTAATCGGTAAAATTTGGGAAAAATTTTGAAAACCTAATTTTTGTTAAGAAACCAATTCACCCCCCTCTTGGTTTTTGTCCGACCACGCGAACATTCCGCTGCGCGATTCTAACAGTGTAGCCATATTCATTGTTGTAAGATCTGTTGATTCTAAAATAGTAGTCACCTTAAGTTGTCAATTTCCTCCTAAACTCTTTAAGATCTTAATATTCAATTCTTCTTTGTCAAAGATCTTTCTAAGAGCCATAAAATGATTTACTATATGAGTAAATTGTTTATGAACATCATAGATGTTTTCTCCAATCTTCATTCTAAACATTTCATACTCTTGAATAAGAGTATTTTTTTCTTGCTATCTTTACCTCTTCAATTCCTTCATGAGTGACTTCAAGAACACTTCACATTTATTTAGTTGTTTCACACACAGAGGTTCTATAGAATTCATCAAGTGTTAGTGTAGAAAAAAATAATATTCCTAGCTCTAGCATCATAATGAGCTCTTTTATTTTCATTAGGAGTCCATTCAATAAAATGTTTAACAATTGTTATATCATCTTTAATCTTGGTTGGTTGAAAATGACCATTAATAACAACATCTCAAACACCTTTATCAATTGATTGAAGAAAAATCTTTATTCTTATTTTCCAAAATGGATAATTTTCTCTATAAAATAAAGGAGGTCTGTTTATAGATGCCCCTTCAACAAAAGTTTGAGAAATGTTAGTCATTCTTTTTGGATCAAAATCAATTAACTTTTTATAACCCAACTCTGATACCAATTGTTATAAAAATGTTAATGACAGTAACATACCCAAGAGGGGGTGAATTGGGTTTTCAAATTTTTTTCAATTCTAATAAATTATTAAAGAATTTTTTCCGATAATCAAATATAAAAGAATTATAACAAGTATTAAGAAAACAAGAATATCAAAATAAGGAGAAAAAGAAAAGAACTCAAGAATTTATATTGGTTCGATTCTTTGTGAATCTACATCCAGTTTTAACCAACTCACCTTAGCTTGGAGTTTTTCATTAAAACAGATTACAACTTAATCTAATAATCTTGACTTACAACAACTTTTAATCAAGATCACAATACTTGAAAATGTTTTCTCTCACTATTTTCAAGTTAAATTGATGTAGCTAGTCTCACATACATCAAAATTCAATATATGATTCACAAGAAAAAAGATAAGAAACGATTTCACCTTAAAAACATAGAAGAACATTGCATCCTATAGCCATATAACATTTTCTTTGAATTTGATCTTCAAAGCATTTTACAGAATCACCCACTTTTTTTATGTTCACAACGTTCTTTCTTATTGTTTTAATTATTTCTAAAAGATATTATTTGATAGAAGAAAGTTAGTATCCTTTTATAGAGTAAATCTGTTAGAACCGATGTAGATAATCAATTAGCAAGATATCTAATCGATTATTTGCATACAATGGTAATATGAAAATAAGTCATATAGTCAATTAGGTACCAACATAATTAATTATTAGCATGTTATGTTAAAACAAAGATTTAGGCACATAATCAAGTAAAATTTTCATGAATATTAACGCATATATTATATAATTGGACATGATTGAAACGTATTTGGATGAAAAATAGGGTTACATAATTCTTTATGAAATTTTCTGTAAATTGAATGTTTCAAGTGTTTTTTTTTTATGGTTTTTAAGTTTTATACTTGTAATCATCGAATAAATCCAAAATTTGACCTGATAATCAATCATTATCAAAATTATTATAAATAAAAACTTTAAATATCATACACATCCAAGACTCAACCTAATATTTAATAATTTTCAAAACGGTTAGAAAATGAAATAAATACCAAGCAAGCACAAAATTTAATATGAAATAAGCTGCTACTAGCAAAACAAATTGGGGAAGATTAGAATTTGAAATGATAAAATTATCCCAAAAGAGAGAATTTTCTACGGAATAAGAAGAATTGCAACGGGATCAAAAAAATCCAAGTTGAAATTTCAATAGATCCGAGATAAAAAAAAAAAGGACAGAAAAGAGACCGAGAAGAGATAGAGAAAGTGAGGGATACAAAGGGGTGTCGGAATGCCGTCAACTGCGATATTGTCTTTTATATTAATATTACTAAATTATTCACTAGAAAGTATAATATGTTACTCGTACAGGTATATTTATTATGTAAGTGTTATATTAATTTTTTATTTAATAACTTAACAATAATACTACAAATAACATATTTTAAAGTGAACAAAAAGTATTAATTAATTTCTTTTTAAAATAGTTTCAGATATTTAAATATTATTTGAATTTATCTTTTTACTTTTAAAATATATTCTTTCACTAATTATTATCATATTTTTTATTTTTTAAATATATAAATTATAATAATTATTTTAAAAAAATCTCTAAAAAACTATTTCAAAATGAAATTCTTCCTATTTAATTATAGATGAAATAACAACAAAAACATTATGGATTATAAATAAATAAAAAGTTTTTAGATGAGATTTATAACATAAATTATCTAAAGCAATGTAAATGGTAGCAGATGTAAAGGAAGAATAGAAAATTGATGGAGGTTAAAAAATTAGGTAAACGTTGTGGAGTAGAAGAGAAGAGGGGATGAAAAAGGAAAACAACTTAGCTGACGTCTGATCGCAGTGGTGAAAATTGAAATAGTCGAAGTTACACATCAACTAGATTTGTTGAGAGAGAGAAAGAGAAGCGCAGAGAGAAGATAACAGACGCGAGCCACGATGCGACTCCGAAGATCTCTGCCATACCCATTTCTCCTGGCCTTGACCTCTGTGCATCTGCAACTCCTTTCTGGTATCTCTTACTCTTCTCCTATAATCTGTGTCTTTCTGTTGTGAGACAATTTCATCAATGCTGATTTGAGGGTATAGAACAATTTGTGATTTTTAGGGTTTTCTGTGGTACAAAATGAAATAGAACAACAACTGGTCTATGTGGAGATTCTAATGAGTTGCATGTTTGATCTAATCATGCTCACTTAACTGCCACGTTCGACTTGCATCCTTTGCTTATCACTGTTAACAATACTACCAAGGTAGTTGTCTCACTGGTAATTTGATTTACATACAAAATACGCTGATAACGAATCCTGTCTGATCATTTTAGATAGTTCGCCGCTTATGGTAGAGGACAGGAGAATCGAAGTGTAACAGCTTTCAAAATTCCTCCCCTTTTACTAGTTAGTTAAATCTAACAATTCTCTCTTGCAACTAGTTTGATGGCTAAGCCTTTGGCATATGTGTTGCTCCTTTTACTTTGATTCCTTACAAGAAAGCAGGGGGAGGTTCTCCACCCCACCCACGATCCTATATCGATGGCTTATGAATTATTTTTGTCCCTTGAAGGTCTAGACAACAATCCTGCAGATGCCAAAAATGAGAATGAAGATGTGAATCATCATGCTTCAAGAAGCTCTGTAGGGCTGAAGATAATTATTATATGTCTTGGTGTGCTGACAGTCATAGCATTCTGTGTTTTTCTTTTCAAATTATGGCAAAGGAAGAAGAGAGAAGAGCAGCATGCTCGTCTATTGAAGCTGTTTGAAGATGATGATGAACTTGAGGTAGAACTTGGTATGCGGGATTGACAATTTATCCCATTTCTTCTTTCCAGTTAACATCATTTTCATGTCAGCAGGGCTGTGATCTTTTACCATTCAAATCTAGCATGGGTTCTTTTGAAAAGTTGAAATCAGGCATTTGCTTGTCACCAGTTTGGTCGTCTCTTGGTTTAGCAGGAGAGATTTATGGTTCAATATTCATCTTCTCACTTTGATAAGAGCGGGAAGTTTATATTTTATTCTTGTATACTTATTTGTAAATCATATATTGGTTCTACTTAATAAGGTGATGTCAATCAATAAAAAATTTATCTGATGTGAGTATTCAATTTAACTTTTTCACTAACATTGACTCCATGATGATTTTTTTTTTCTGCACGTCTTTGTTTAGTACTGTACCCTTGTGATTAACACGGGTATGGAAACTTCCCATTGGTTTGGATTGATTCGATGGAATGAAAAAGAACAAAAGAAAAGAAACTGGATTGAGAAATGGATTTGAAGAAGCCGGAGTAGAATGGAGAGTTCTTTGGATTTGAAGAAGCCGAAAGAAGAGAGAGGAGTGTTATTTAGAATAGATTAGGAAAAATGTAAAGAAACGAACAGAAAATTTATAATTGATTTAAAATAAAAAATATTAATTAAATAATTTAATAAATATTATTTATTAAATTATTTTATTTTATCAATACATTTTTTAATTTATCACATATTTAAATAATGAGGTAATTTGTTCAGAAAAAATTAATAAATAAATAAAAATATATTTATTATAGATTGTTATTACTAAAATAAAATTAAAGATTTTTATATTAAAATACTTTATATATATATATATATATATTTTTTTTTTTAATAATAAAATAATTTATTATATATTCATCTTAATTTGCCGTGTTAATATATTGATATATTTGCAGTATAACAATGTATTACTATTTTTTTCTTCTTTACTCTCAAATGAGAGAAGGTTTGCATATTAAAGTAAATCGATGTATCCTAAAATGAAGGCCGAACGAAAACTAATAAAAGAACAAATTAGAACTAACAAGATTGAAATGTAAGAATTCATATCCTTGTCCTAATATAGTCAAAGGTCAAGATGATTAAAAAAAGATGAAACTTTTTTTTCTTTTTTATATATTGTTATATTTTAATGAGAGGTCATATTTTCATTGGATGTGATTTAATCTATAGTATACCGTGACGTCATCTTCGTGAATTAAGAAAAAAATTATTTATAAATTGTTCTTGTGCTCGAATTCTATACATGCTTTTTTGCATGAATAAATTAAGGAAAAGGTTAGAAAAATCTTTCCATTATTAATATTTTTAACTCGTATCTATTAACGTCATTTGGATTGTCGCATTTGATGTTGCATGATTTAAAATGACCTTAAAATATCAATAGACTTGAGATGCCAATATAAGACTTGAAAGAGGTGTTTTGATACACTATAAAAAGACACATTTTACTTAAAAATAATAATAAAAGTTAATTTATAAACAATTTTATTTATTAATTTATTAACACATCCAAAATCTTTTCTGAACAAAATCATCACAAAATCACCTACAAACTTATAATAGTAAATTTGGAACTAGAAGAAGAATTAAGTTATTATCATCAAAATAAATATAACCCTTAAAATATAACAACATAACAAAAAAAATATAATAAATAAAAAATTAAAAAAAAAACTAATAAATTGATCATTCTTGAAATGTTCCTAAAAACTAGTAAATCAAAAGAAAACTAAGAGAATGATTTATTCTTTTTTTTTCTTAAAATGATGATAGGTTGACAAACTAAATAGATCAAATAAATTTTATTTTAGATCATGATAGATCAAATAAAAAAAAGCATTAACAAATTTTCATCCATTAAAAAAAAAACTCAATCTACTTTATCCATTGACAACTTTTTTTTTTAAGTAGATATCAATCTATAAAAATAATTTATTTTAAAAATTAAAAATATATTTTTTTTAGTAGTAAATTTCAACAAGACACTGATATTTTCTTAAATTATACTCATCATTTTTTTGTACTCTTATAATTAACTTCTTTATCAAATAATGTAAGTGTATTTTTTTAAAAAAATTTAAGAAAATGCATATGTAATTTAAAAAGATGTGAAAAATAATATTTTAAAGATAAACCAAGGTTTTGTGAAGAATTTAAAAAAAGAAATTGAGGTCTCAAATATAATTTGAGAAAAATTCAGTGACTATCAGTATAATTTACTTTTGAAATTATATCTTTCAAACAATTTTCAAAAACAATATAAAAATATAATTTTAAAACCTTCAAAAATAAATATAAAATATAATTATGTAAATTGATTAAATTAACTTCGATCCATTAAGTCTTGATGGATGGTTCAGTGAATTTTGATAACTTTCGATAAATCAATAACCATTCATAAACTTAATAAATGAATTTTGTCTATTCCAAAATTTTTATAATGGATAAATTTCGTTGGATATTCAAGGGATAATAAATAAATAAATTAATTTGTCATCTCTGAAGTAACTAGGCCTGACATAAGCTGATGGTCGGTCAAAAACTTTTGAAGTAAGGAACAAAATAATGTCTGTTTCGCACACTTGAGCTCAATTGAGTCGAGTCCCCTGACTCTTAACATTGACTCATAATCAGGTTAACCAGTACTATAGCCAGAGACTACAACCGAAATCTCATTCAATGAAGCTGCAGCTCACAATCATACTAGCAAGTTTCCTAGTTTGTAGTGTAATTAAGAAATTAACCAACCAAAAACATTAAACAAATTCCGTATACTTATTGAAGGCATGTGATGGCACTCTACAATTTAACAGAAAACGCTGAAATTTGCATTGAAAACACCAAGAGAAGTACGAAACTAGATTAGAAAATGTCATATATCACATAATGCATGATGTCAAACATGGAAAGAAAGTAATTGCATATTTGTCATGGCACTTATATAGGTATTAACACTGCCAAAGAGCAACAGCTATTTGATGTCACCATCTTAGAGAAACATAAATAAATTCTTTGAAGTTCGAAGTAGCTACTATCAAAGAATGACACAACCACCTTGAGGTCGCTTGCGAAGTTCTTCATTGGCCTTCTCAAGATGTTCTCTGAGTTTACGTATTTCATCGTCTGATCTCCGTTGAGCTAACATTGCATTGTTTTCCGCCTTAAGTCTTGCAGCTTGCTCTTCTGCTAATTGTTGCTCAAGCCTCGTAGTTGCCTCTTTCAATTTTGATTCAACCTAAAAAACCATATAATTATTCCAAAACAAAAATATTAGGGGTATGCTCCACTTATTATGTCAATACTGTATTTAGTGCTTTGCCACGTGTACTGGTGGGAGTCAAGACTGTCTTCAAGAGTACAAGCTTGGAAGACAAAAAGGTAAAATGCATAAGAATAACGGCATGGCCACGTGCAAGATGAACATCAAAAGAATTCTAGCTAGACGCATACTCTTCCCCATAAATCTACCAATTGGTGAACGGGGCTACATTGAAATAACCGATAGCCTTGGGAAAAAGGAAACTTTTTAACAATTTCAGTTAATTTTTCCTACATTCTCATCCAATTCTCTTTTAAAATGACTAATAAAGCTTATATTTTTGGATTATCTTTCACCATTCCAATGTCCAATCATATCAGTGTAGCAGCACTTATCACACAAACATTCTAGGTCTCCCGTATTTGTTATATCTAAATAAAAATCATTAATCATATCCTCAGATTTACCTTGTCATTTTCTTCATATACAAGATAGCAAATGCTTCCCGCTTCTACTTGAGTACAACTTGGAGATTAGCTGCCCATTCTTTTAAAATCTTGATGTTCAAATACAGCTTTTCTTACCACCTCTAGCCTCCCTCCCTCTTCCACTCCCACTCCAAATCCCGATCCAACAGAAAAAGAAAACCAAACTGAACTTCAGCCCCTTTTTTCTACTCATCTTGCAGATGTCATAGTGTACAAGATAAGGATTATTTATAGGCGTTTTCCGTGGTACTAGGAGGTTATTTAGGCCAAAAGGGGAAATTGTAATGGGAAGACATCTTTTCGGAAAACAACTGATGCTAAGACATTCTTAGATGAGACAAGGGGGGACACCCCAGGTAAGAGAATTCTCTCTCTTTTACTGAGCACAAAAACCATTCTGTTTTTTGTCTATTCCTCTAAAACTCTTGTCATGCCTAATCTAAGAGCCTATCAATAAATGATTCAACCTTGGGTTAAGGTAGTAAAATGACACACTATTCTTGTTTTCATATAATAAAGTGGTATTTTTCCTAAATTACCCTCAATTATATATATTGAGAATCATTTTTTTATCTTTAAAGATAAGGGTATTTTTCAAATACTAACTCCACCAACATAACCTATTTTTTGCTTATATTTGAGTCCGGGGGGAGTACTGTTTGTTCCGTCTGGAATGTACCCACTACATTCCCTATTAAGAACTTATTTAGCAAATTCATAAGGCCCATTAAAAATATATATGTCTATCACACAAAACAGAAAAACAAGATTGTCCCACATTGCCTAATTTAAGAGATTAAACAAGATTTAACCAATATTAGAAACTTAAAGATCACATCTTCATGTCAAAACACCAATAAAATTTTATCTGAATGAATGCATCTATTCAATGAGTTTAAAAACTAAATGCCAATTTAAATTAACCCAAATTGCTTATAAAAACTATGCAGCAATACATATGCAAAGCTGCTATTGAAAATTCAATAACATAAAAGAGTGTCACCATGTTTAACTTCAAAAAAATAAGTTAAATGACACCAACTTAATTAAATTTGTTAATATAAAAAAACATGGCTATAAAGAGTATACCATCTCAGTAATTCGCTTTAATTGGTCATCATATGTCTGCTGTATTTGCTTTTTAAACTCCGATATCTCTCCTATAGAATATCCTTTTGATTCAACCTCTCTTTGTTGGTTATGCAGCTCCATTGCTCCCTTCTGCAATCAGATGAATGAAATGATGAATTAACTGATACCATATCATGTTTTGCAAGATTTAAAGTTTGCAAATCCCTCACCTTCAGTTCTGCAAACAACTCATCTGTATAAGGTCGTCCACCATTACGAGATACAACCATATCTACCAAAGAGAGAAGTTGTTGAACTTGTCCAAAACGCTTCCTTTCATCCTTAGTCTTGTTATCAAAAAGTACAAAACGATTCTCACACAGAAGAAGAATCTCCTACGATTAAATTCAATATTTCAGTTGAAGATCCACAAAACTAGGAATTTCCTATTTGAGATTCAGCAGATGGACTTTCCTATAATCCAATTCAGCCAGGCCAGCACAGTATCGTGCTACTAAAATAAGCAGAAAATAACACTCTTTATTATTAGCTGAAATTTATTGAAAATGTTACAGATTTTGATTTAACATATAAATGAAGAGAGAGAGTCATAAGATGAGAAATAAGACCCACCAAAATTAGAGTAAGTCTCACTAACATTTTTCTTAAGAGTTAATCCAATATGCAAACAAGGCAAGTGAAGCATTTTTAAGAATTCTGCCACTCAGCTATCCTTATCTTTATTACAAGATATACCAATAAGAAAGTTCATAACAGATACAGGCGAATGCCACATAAGATATTTGCCAAGCACAATACAAGAGCTAGATGACAAAGACAAGCCTTTGCACCAATCATTCTGCATGTACAAGTTTTAATCACCAAATGGCATCAGATGGGCTTTAGCCCTTTTTGTTTGTAATGTTCATAAGAAAAAAATGTTTTAGTTGAAAACTATGTTTAACTTATATAATTTGTAAGTTTTAGTCCAGGAAAAAAAGAGTTCAAAATACAACCAGTTTTATTACTTTTCTTATAAGTTAAAAAAAGTAGCTTGTGGGTGAAAAAAGAAAAGGCTATGGAATAGAAATGTTTTGTTCTTAAGCCTACCCAAATATGCGTAAGGATATGTGCACTAGGAAATACATGCTAAAGTTTTAGGTCATTCATTTATTGAGAGCATATATAAATTGGATGTAACTGTAAAAAAAAAAAATTGGCGTACACATCGCTAACAATTTATATATTAAAAATTTCCACAAATACCAAATGAATTTATCAAAGTTTTGACCAAAAGTTATCGTATGTTCATAGATTTGTGAGGCCATCATTCATTTTACCCATAAAAGTAGACCACAATAACAGCTATAACAAGGTTAAAAATCCAATGAATAGAAGAAAACAAAAAAAAAAGGGTTTAATCTAGATTGTAATGCTCAAAAAGAAACCTTTAAAGGCTTTGGACATTCACGGCCTAGATAATCCTCAAATGTCTCTTGGTTATCTTCTAATTCATCTCCTCCAGTGAAGACCACAATCATGTAATCAACAATTTTGTTTCCAAATAATGTCTGCAAGCTCCGTAGAGCAGTTTCTTCTTCCTTAGTAAAACGTGTTCTAACTGAGAATACCACAATGACAGCATGGATCCCATCCTGAGCCAAATCAATGCATTTGGCGATTTCCTTTCCAACAAATTCAGATCCGGCAGACAAATCAAATAATCCTGTGAAACTTTGTAGGTCAGATGGATGTGAAAAAGGCTTACAAGAAACAAAAAATAAATAGTCAAACAATCTGATAGGAAATCCTATCTAATATAGAAGAATAATTCCTTGTTTTATTGATAATAGGAGGGAAAGAAACAGCGAGGGATAAGAGTCGTAGCCCCAAGTACGAGAGATTTCTCTCGACTTCCACTAACAACAATATTCCCCACACCCCTAATAGAATCTACACTCTCTCTGCATAACCAACCAACTCTGCCCCTCCCACTAACTATTGCCTATGGCTGTATTGGACCCTAAACATGGAAATTGGGCCCACGGGAGTACACTAACACGGTATTAGGAGTGTGATCAGCGTCACAATCACACACAATCCTGAATTAATATTTTATCATCCTTTACCTGGGGTGTCAATGACATTAACAATTTGTCCGTCATTTAGTTCTGCTGTCTGCAATTCACATGTGGTGGATACTGCAGAAGAGCTAGCCTTTGACGTGAAGACCTTCCTTCCGAGAATGGTGTTACCCGTTGCACTCTTGCCATTTCCAGTACGTCCCACTAAGACCACTGTCCGAACCTCATTAGATGAGGACGAAGCGACCTCCCAATCATCATCAGTAAGACTTCCACCCATCGTTAATCTAAGTCACTGAAACAAAAATAGATATCCTGAACAGTGTATTTGGCTCAATGAACACGAGTGGAGTGGAGTAGAGGAAAAACAATTTAGAGGAGTGTTGGCAAAGAGAATGTGTCTGGCTTGATTTTACCCTTACAAATATTAATGAAAGGATGAGACTACTTATTTTACAGTAATTTACTCAGTACGTCCGCAAAAATTAAAAATCACTTGCTCTTTTATTCAAATCCTCCAATATTAAAAGGGGAACAAGAAAATGGAGAGGAATTTTAGTCACAGATATTTCTTCATCTTCACGATTCTAAATTTTTAAACCAAAGAGGAAAAACAATCCTCCCTTCTTCCCTCTAATCAAACACCTGAAGAAAACAAGGTTTATAGTAATAAAGAACAAACACGACAGTAAATATGATGAAACTTGAAGGTTAAAACAATTGAATTATAGATTCATGCTCCGCCAATGAAAAAAGAAAGATAATTAAGGATAGTAATCGCCATCACACATGGTAGAAATTCACTTACTAACCTCTAGGGAGAAGGAGAACATTTTCCACACAACGCAACCCTTCAGAAACAGGCTAACCGCAGCACAAAACCCTACGAGCAAGAAAAAGATAATTTAGATACTATATATGTAGTATAGTTAAGTAAATGATAACAGATTATTAACCCTGTATATTTTTCTCATCATTAAAAAAAAAAAACAACGTTTCTATAAAAAGTGAACTCTATCATTTTATTTTTTACATAATTTTATATTATCATTATATATGAATTTTGAAAGAACTGATATAATCACAACTATAATCGCGATTAGATAAAGATTTTTTAATATTAATTATTTTGGACATTTTATGTCCATTTTTTAAACGGTTATACAGGAAATATAAAAAATATTTATTTTTTATTTCTAATTTTATACCACTTAAAAAATCACATTTTATATTAATTGTACATTTAATCATTATAAAAAAATTAAAAATAAGATGAAAAAGAATGTTGTCATAAACACTTCATAATTATTATCATAATATTAATTTTTTATAACAATTTTTAATAAAATTAATATAAAAAATTAATTTTTATGACAGTTTTTAACAAAATCAACATAAAAAGTCAATTTTTATAATAATTCTTAATAAAATTGATATAAAAAGTTAAATTTTTATGATGGTTAAAGTAACAACTATCATAAAAAGTTGCACATGATTATAACAGGATCTATTATAAAAATTTTACATGTTGGTTATCTTAGTAATCAACATAGAACATAATAGTTTTTTTTAATAATTATTTTGATTTTAAACATCAACTTCCCTATTTAATTATATATATTTTTCAGTGCAGACTATATACTCAATAAATTCATAATATATTTAATAATATATATATATATATATATATATATATATATTAAGTGTATATAATATTATTTAATTTACATCATTATAAGTTAAAACAATTTACAAATTGTCAAAAATACTTAAAAAATGAAAACCCTTTACATTCTCATATCTTCTATAACTTCTTCTTTCAATGAGTATAGATAGTTGAATATCTATAAAATCAATATTTATTTAATCAATAAATAATTAAAAGTAAAAAAGTAAAAAATAATGATTAACAAGTAATAAAATGTATAACTGATATTAAAGATGTATAACAAATGTAATATGGTTGTATAATATGCAATATGCATAATTAATGTAATATTAAAGATGTATAATAAATGTAATATCCATTGGGATTTTATAATGAAAATAATAAAACTAATGTGCAGTATGCATCATATGGTTATGTCCTTGAATTTTTTTATATTAATTACCTCTTTTCATGAGTCAATATTGTTAGTAGATATGATTGTGTGCATGTGCTTCATTACATAATATCCACATTCATGGTTTCCTTGTTGATGTGAACACTGCAAAATACAAAAATGATAATGAAAATATATGTCATTTTAACAAATGAATAGTAGTTATACAAATAACTTACATTAGATGCAATATACTAAAGTTTCTTCCTAGAAACTTGTAGAAGCCCCACAACTTTATATATGCATCCATAGCTCTATATAAAACAATGTAAGTTAAATTATATTAAACAATTAATTCCTTAACATTAAATTGTATAACAAATAAAATATAGTTGAATAAGAGACTTACCAGTCTATTATATTCCTAATAGCCAAAATAGTAGTTTTCTTGTGTAATGAGCATAAAAGAACCACTAAAAACTGTCGAGAGATAATTATTAACAATTGTCAATAAGTCCTACAAGTTGTAATAACATTAGTACTAACTAAAAGGTAAAAATCATTGTTAAGGATATTATATACTTACTAATGCAAGTAAGTTGCTAAATACACTTCTTTTCCTAAATTTTGAAATGCTTCTATCAAATATGTTTGCACTTTGCTGGCTTTATTCCCTATGCTTTGAATGACAACAAGGTCAAGAAATCCATAAATGTATGCATTCTTCCTCTTAATGCAAAGACAATGTAAATACCTTATATATGAAAAACAATAATGTTAGAATAACATATTGAATGCAATAAAAAAATTTAAGTTAATGAAAATATACTTATAACAACCAAAGTTGTAGTATTGATACACATAGAAGATCAGTGTCAGTAAGAATATCAAACACATCTCTTTGGCAGATAAAGAAAGGGATGGTAATGTTTCAACCTACTACTTCAAAAGGCTTATTTATTTGTATTGGTTGTTTCCCTAAAGTCACTGCCACTACACCAAGTTGTTGCATAGGAGATAATTGTGGTTATGTATTTCTAACAACTTCTTTTTGTTTTATAGAAGCATCTTATTTAATAATATACATATATTAAACTTATTTAATCATGTAAAGAATAAAAATACATAATTAAATTTGGTAAATTAACTTACCCTTGCTATAATCAATTTTTTCAGTATAATTGGCCAAAGAATAAAATGCCCTAGGGTTTGTCCCACTATTTGAACCTTTTCAGTGGGCACAGGAACTTGAGCGGTAGCATCTCGAACTTCTACAACAACCACTCATATCATGTCGTCTTGAATCGTCTAGTGGTGAATGGTTAATCGTAATGTATAAATTTTACCTGAGGAGAACACATAAATTAAATTAGAATAGATCAAATTCCACTTTCTATGTCAGTTATATTAGTAACTGACATAAAAAGTGACAGTTTTTTTAATAACTATTTTGATTTTAAACATCGACCTCCCCGCATAATAATATATATTTTTAGATAGGTCTGTATACTCATAACATATTTAATAATAATATACAAAAAATATATAAAAATATTAAGTGTATATAATGTTATTTAATTTACATCATTATAAGTTAAAACAATTTACAAATTGTCAAAAATACTTAAAAAATGGGAAGCCCATTGCATTCTCATGTCTTCTATAACTTCTTTTTTCAATGGGTAAGGATCATTAAATATCCACAAAATCAATATTTATTTAATCAATAAATAATTAAAAATAAAAAAGTAAAAAATAATAATAAACAAATAATGAGATGTATAATTAATATTAAAGATGTATAACAAATGTAATATAGTTGTATAATATGCAGTATGCATAATGAATGTAATATTAAAGATGTATAACAAATATAATATCCATTGGGATTTTATAATGAAAATAATAAAACTAATGTGTAATATGGCATATGGTTGTGTCTTGAATTTTTTTTATATTACCTCTTTCCATGAATCAATGATGTTAGTAGATATGATTGTCTACATGTGCTTCATTAACTCTGCTCACATGTCTGACATTAACTATGCTCTCAATTCAGAGTATAATTCTTTTCTAAGATCATTTTTTAGAGTTTCCTTTTGGGCATCACTGAGTTATGATTTTCTAATTTATTGAGATGGAGCACCCAAGAATTATTGGATACCCACCCCTCTTCCAACAGCACGAACACAACCTGGATGCTTTGGACAACCAATGTTAGCAACCAATATATCATCACGCTCTTGTGGGATAAACGATTCTTGTGTGCTTTGCTCTACTACTTGATCCTAAAACATAGACATTTGAATACACATATTAGAAAATACATCTCAAATGTAATAGTAATGTAAACATATAGACATAAATTACTTACAATTCGCTCAGCTACGGTCCGAGCTTCTTTAGGTGTGTACTCCCCAGATGGTTTTTAACGTGCTCTCTTCCACTTATCATGATGGGGAGGAGAAGAAATCATACTCAAATCAAACTGGTAGAAGCAATAGAGGAAGTTGCTTCTCTTATCATGGTTTGCTCCAACTTCTCATAACCCCACGAGATAATCTATGGGGGTGGACATTCTTTTTTGGATATCCTGAGAAGCTCTTCTTTTTTCCTGTTATATTAGTTTATTAAATTATGTTACAAAATAATACAAATAATAAACTAATGATTTTACTTGAAAAACAAGGTCTAGTTGTTTCTCTCGGAAGGTCTCGCCACGTCTCCTTATCTAAAAATTGGTATTGCTCATATGGATTTTTGTGACTCGAGTTTACCATATATATAGCGACTAGTAAGGTCGCTCTTAAAACCTCTCCATCATTGACAAGTATATGAAATCCATTTCGTTTGTAACAAATTACTATTAGGAACATCATATGTGAGTTGAATAAAAAAGAAGTTAATATAATATATTTTGTTAATACACTTGTGTATATTAAAATTAAATAAGTTAAGATTTCATACCAAAATGGTCTGCCATATCTGGTTCTTCACAATATTTGGAACATGGTCCCAGTCATCAATCAAAATGCTGACCTTACTTCTACCAAGCAAGGCCACATAGCTAATGAACTTTGTGCCACATTCTCCTAAAGCCTTTCCTGTCTGCATATCAAATTGTATGGGCAATCTCTCATTAGCACTACGGCTAATAGTCAACTCTCTAAGTCTAGTTGTACGTCTACCCTTTTTTTGAGTTAGTGGCAGACTTAACTCTCCCCCTTCTAGAGGACGG